GTTCTGGAACGAGACCAGAACTGCTTGCACCTGTTGGGGAAGTTTTGACAAGAAGAGTTGTTTGAATAGACCTTCGTCGAAAGTTCTTGGGCCTATTACCTCTCTCATCCGTTGCAACATGTCCGTCGCAGAACCGTGTTGCAGGTCTATGTTATTGAAGAGTTGATCTAACCTTTGTCGATCAGTTAGATCTCCTCGTTTAAGAATCGAGCGTTTTAAGGTTTCGTAAGGATCGGAAACATCACTAGTAAACATACTAGGTGTTACGTACCTGTTGAATTCGCGCGGTAGTGCCTTGACTACTGCGAGGAATTGTGCACGTGTGTCGATCACACCGTGCTCGTAGAAGTCGGCTTCTGCGTAGCGAAACCAAGCTTCGATGTTGTCGGGCCAGAAAGGCATCAGTTGAAACGAAGGTGGGGACAAGGTCTTAAGCTTGAGTACTTTAGGTGTCTGTTCAGTCATGATGAAATATGAAGTACGATAATGAACGAGGGGAAAAAATATATGTATCCAAGAAAAAATACGAAAAAAAAATCACAATGTTTAAAAAAATAAAAAATAAGGCAATGATATATAATAATCCCAAAAAGGAACAGACTCACAGTTGCAAATAGGTGTACCAGATCACGTCGGTTTCACCAATGATGATGTCACAGGTATTCAGTGTTTGACAACGCTTCTACCAGTAACACCTTCACGTCGGGCTCACCAGTGTAGATCACCAAAGTAGATGATCTATGTCGAAATGATTGAAGGCCTACTCCAGTTAGACGTGAATAGTGTGACGAACCAACTAACGTCGAAGTCACACTTCGTGGTCAGCACCTTACGTGGACTACCCCATTGACGTAACAAGGTACTATAGATGCTTTGAAGACTGTACAACACAAAGGACGTTATTACAGAAATATATTAGTTAAAGTAGATACAAGCGAAAGTAAGACCACTGCCGCATGGGCCAGTCCATGGCGTATGATTAACTAATGCGCGTTTGTTGTACATGACCTTGGCAGGGAGCGACGATCTGTTCGGCATTCAGTGATCCAACTGCCGGATGATTTGGCTAGGGCTCAGTGACATTTCACTGGCCCTACAAGGGGACTTGTCTCGATCTAGTTTAAGCCCTGAAACAATAGGCTAGCTGGCTTAACTCTGTGGCTAAAAATGCATGGGCTCGAATTGAGACTATCGGCCTTGAGAATGGAGACAAAAATTTCCGTCACCTAATTAGTTGACGAACGAGAAGAAAGACGAGTTAACTGGCACACAAACGACTAAAACCTTATCCCCGATTAAGATTAGTGTAAAAATAATTCATATGAATAAACAGATGACTAGCACGACTACAAAGCACAAACAATTAAAAAATTACATTTATGTTTGAACTAGGCATTCCGGTAGAAAAATAATACGAAAGGTTAAGTTTAAGTTACAGTAGTTTGGGAATAGAAGAGGGTATGCCAGTGAATTATATATCAAACGAAAGCTTATGGTTTAGAGAATAAACTAGGGGCAAAACTAAATGCTAGTGTCTCAAAAGGTTTGAACTAAGTAAAACAACGTCCCCTAAAATAGCTTTTATTGTTCGTTATGGCTTTGTTTCTCTGTTCACATCACTTCTCAAGGCATTTTATATGTAAATGGAGGTAATAATTACATGTTTTTTCAAGTGATCGGGAGCTTATGTAAACAATTAACAAGTCCTAGAATTATCTTGCAGCCCAACCTATTAATTTCCAGATTTTATTTGATTACCTCAATCTGTCTGTTTTGAACCCCAGCCTAAAAGGACCCCAGGATTGTTCACGCCCGCATATAATATTGATGTCCTTTGTTGGTCTAATTCCTCTCATCATTAATGTGAATTGCTGCATATTATAGCATGCCTCAACGCTACACTTTAATACATATACGGTTGTGGGATACTAGTTAGAAACCACAAAATAAATTCGCATTTTTCTACCCCAATCGCTGTTGTGGTTTTATGCAAAAGACTAATATGCCGTTATTGGAGAACTAATTATCAAATTTCAGACCAAACACATCAGGAACCTATATACTAGATCTCTTGCAGATCATTGGCAGCAGGACTGTATGTCAGCACTTTAGAACTGGAACCAAAGCTATCAAGTTCAGTGATTGATATCACGAAAATCTATCAATACTGGAAACTGAATAGAAGCAATCAGGTGTGTAATTTCTGGGTAGGCATCGGTGTCGAAGAGTTTCTATAAACAGCACCAGGTTGTTAGACAAAATTTGCTGTAAGTCTATACTGATTTAAATACGTCGTTCGCCTTTCAGTTACGAACTAGAACACAATATATCGCATTATATTATAATTAACCTACCACTGTTACTTTAATATTGCTTCTCGAAGTAAAAACCAGGAAAGTACTTTTGTGTAGTGATTTTGAATCTGAAAAGTCATTGTTTACAAATTTTAAAAGTTACAAAGAAATACACAACCAGTCCACGATTTTTATTGACTCACCCTAATCGGTCCAGTTTTTACATTTTCGTCACTACTAGGAATTAGAGCTAAAAGTGATATCTTACGAAATTGATGTCATCTGACAAGCAATAATGTGGAAGGGAATATTTTATCTCAGAAAGTTTGTACAATGACTAATCTTGCAAATGAGGACAAGGTGACTCGATTACCGAGTAAGACTCATGCTTAATGCAGATAACTTATGTAACACTAACTACTTTAGCAAGAATATGAATAACCTATCCTTCTTTTGATCAGATATTTTCTCCATTTGTAAAGATACTTTTTTAGTCGATCATCATCAATTACACGCACTAATATTAAAGCTCAGATGTTTCAGTTATACTCACTTTAATGTACAGTGTTTAGGAACGACTATATTAATTGATAAAGAAGTGTGCTAAGTAGAATAGTAAATTAGCTGTTTGTTTTAACTAGTTGTGAATTGGAAGTGGTGGTTTAGTAAATTCTGTACCAAAAAAAACCCAAATAACCACATTAACTGAGGGACTTAAAGCTTTAAAACAAAGCAAGAATGTAATTAATTTTTATTTAGATTTGATTACAAGAATTTACTGAACGAAAACTGTGTTATGAAAGAAGTTAGAAATAATAATTATAGTAGCACTAATATTCGTAATAGTGTTATTAAGACGAAGAATTTAAAACTTTGTATTTACATGTTATGTTCGTATTTTTTTGCATTAACTGACTAATTCATGAAAGATATATGTTTCATAATTTTGCTTGCCGATCTTGAAGAAGATAATAATTATTAACATGAGTAAAAAGCAATGGCAACAACACAGATGGGATTATGTGGAAAGTATATCAAAGACAGATAACATTAAGAAAGAAAAGAATGATCGCAAAATTTACCTACATATTCCATGATCTAAACAACAATAGGCACTATGAATGGAAAGTGTACCGTGTACCTACTTTTTCAGCCCAGAACAAAAGACCATTTCAAAGGACTACAAGTAATAACTCGTTATTCAATCACAATTAGTTAGTAATGAAGTCGATAGTGAAATGGTCGAATATAACGAATATATAACGGCGCTATGGATGATGGGGGATATTATGCAGAAAGAGTGAGTAATACAGCAAAAATAATTCTTAAAAAACATATACCTCCCTGTAGATGAATATGACAAATTCGATTTAACCTTTTGGAAGAATAAATGCATGATAACAATAGCCACTTACGTAAGTAGTGTCTCCTAAACAAGACTATTTCATAAACAGCCACACATTTCACAATATACCGATCATATATATAGATATATATTATTTGTATTCGACAATATTATATTCTTTGCAGCAACATAGAAGGCACATTACACTTATATTTAAGTATAATAGGATGAGTAACAAACTATGGAGCATGAAGAAAATTGTTCCACATCAACAAAATCAGAGTTCATAGAAAACAGGATGAACGTATATAGAGAATAATGGTACAAGTATAAAATAACTTTGTCATTAATATTGTATATTCAAACAGAAGCAATGTCAGAAAAACGAGAAAAATGAAGGCATAGGGAAAGTCCTAAAAGAATACCAACTATTCATATACATTTACGGAAATATCTATTATATTTTTGTTGGTATTAATGTGCATATGAAATACGTGCATCATTTGAACCGGGTTAAATGGAACCTCCGGAAAATAAGAGGCTACCACATATATAGAAAATGTGTAAATATAAAAGAATAGATCAGAGATACAACAACTGGACAATCTCTTTCCTTAGCTTTTAACAAAAACAATGAGTATGCAACAATTAAAAATTGTCAAGTGTAGAAAACCGTCAAAGCAAAAAGAAAATGAGCATTATGAATTCAGAATTGATTTTCCGAAAATAAAACATGTGAAACGATTTTGATCTGTTAGGAAAAATACATCCCAGTCCGATGCAATAATACTAATGGTAATATTGATGATCATATAAAAATTCTTAAAAAGCTCTTAAAAAGGTGCATAAATTGATGCTAATTCCACTTATCAACACCAAAATATCAATTATGATCTTAACCGATTGGAAGATAATGATAATTACACAATAACCAGTAAAGTAGGTCAGTCCTAATTGTTACACGATTCTGAAATAGTATGACGAATGTAAGATTAAATGAATTAAAGACGTAAGAATAGGCGAGAAACCAAATTGAAAACTACACATAATTTTCCAAAGACAACTAGGAGGCAATAAACATATGAGGAAGGAAATGTGTGAAATGATCTACAGAAAAGCATGATGCACGTATGCATACATATGGCCCGCTCATCATTAAGACCTAAAAACAAGCACTTTTTAAAAAAATTAAATGTAGAAATCATTATGACAAAAACGAAAAGTGAGAAAACATAGCTCGTAGACTAAAATATCGTAACAAAAACAAACAAGCGGAGAAAAAAAGAAGTTCTTACAACTATTTGTCAAGGAAACAATAAAAATATATCAATGGTATTTTTAGTTATAATTATTCAAATTTTTCAAATGAACTGTTTTGACGATGATGTATCTGGAAGTTCTGATTTTAATGGAGTAGTTTGACTAGAAGTTTGTTGCTGCTGAGGCGGTAGTGCATGCGACGATAATGGTTGGAAAAGAAAAGGGAACTGATATAACTCAGCTTTTAAACTAGGATATGAATTAGCTAGCATTTCTACATGTAGTCTTAATTGTTCACCTTCAGCTTTATACCGGGCTACTGTATTCTCTAAATTTCTTACTTGGGCATCACGTTCAGCTACTTGATTTTCTAACGATCTGATAAGTGATATTTTACGTTCACGACAACGACGTGCAGCAACACGATTACGAGCACGCTTTCTTTCCAATTTTAAATGATGCTGTTCATCTTCACCTGAAGGTGATACTGGAGTGTTATCCCTAACAGCATGACTAGTTCCTGTGCTAATTGATTCTGAATGATCACTACTATCATCCGCATCACCAGTAACCAAAGACTCAACTTTCCCGGTGAAACGTTTATTAGAATACTCACGATATGCTTGTGGGTTTGCGGCTGAATAATTCAGATAATTATAAACACTAGAATGGATTTTACAAGACACATCTGAGCTTCCACGTCCCCTTAAGTTACGTGATCGCTTTATATTGTTTTTACTTGTATCATCGAACATACCTTGTATCGGTATTATATCTGTACTACTATCGCACACAACTGCAAGTCCAGAATTAGTATTCAAAGTATTCATATGTGACTTTTTATTCCCTCCAAGGTGACGATTAGGATTTTGGAGACAGTTTGAATGAGTGACTAATGATAATGGTGTAGCAAAGAAAGAATTTAAACAACTGGTCACTGTAGGAAGTGAAGTTATATCTACTGTATCTGACTTGGAATTTGATAACCGTCGAAAACAAGTATTTCTCTGATCAAGATCACCATTATTTTCATTAGATAAAAATGAAGGAATTGCTGTGAGATTAGGCACAGAATTAACGGATACCTGATTTAAATCAGCACTTAGTATTCCAGGTGATCTCAAACTTTGCAACATATGAGCGTCCAGAAAGGAATCACATACAGGATTAATGCAGGGGATTAAATGACTGGTTGTTGTAGATCTACTGTTTGATTGAAGTAACAATGACTTATCAGAAAACTGGTTACCAAGTGTACAATACATTTCATCGAACTGATGATCGCATAAATTGCCATTGGTATGCTGAATAAATTAGGAAAAAATCAAGTTATTCACGATAGTATACAATTACAACGTGAGAACATCACCATACCAAAGTTACAGAAACAGGTAATACAAATATGTCTCAGTCAGTCAAAAAATGTATGGAGTTGTGCGCATTTGGGTTAATTCAAGTTGTTGTACTTCGCATTAGTACAATGAAAAGAAAGTAACTAAATAAAAACCAAAGGAATGTTGATAGTAATCTCAACTGTGATGAAAGACAAGACAAACATTACTGAGAAGGGAGGAATGAGTTCAAAAGAATAAGTATGACTGAGCAAATGATTCAGAATATAAAGAATGAATATAATTGAGCTACTACGACTGATTTTCTGTCATATTACTTAATCTTTGATTAATGATTACAATTATCTCCCGGATTCTAACCAAGAAGTTTATACCTCTTGACGACTAAGTCAAGAGCTTTTCGTAACTGCCGAAAACTCGCCAGGTCCTAACCCACCAGGGGTCATTAGATAAAGATTCGTGATGCAGTAAACATATTTTCCATAGATGAGAACAGCTTTAAATCAACGTTTTGGATTTACAAGAAAAAAAACATAAATATTCTTGGATTACAGGTCCGTGTCCCGAAGTCTTTTCCATTGTTTACCCAGTGAAGGTAACCGCGCGAAAATTCTCGTACGCTGTTTTTTCCCTTATATGGTTTGGAGCTCATTATCAACAGCTTCCGAGGACTGATTATTCTAGCAGAATTCCAAAACCCGCAAACCTTTCCTCACCTTCTGGTTCAGGTTATTTGTACGTCACGGAAAACCGGGAATCATGACAAACCCCAGCAAGACATCGAGCGAGTGTATTCTTCCGACAGTTTGCGGTTGTAGTCCACACGTGATTCAGAGGCCTTCTACTGACTCACTTCAATAATACTGTCAGTGAGATTGTTTGTATCAATGTTGAGCTTTAAGTCAGAGCTTGTTATAAATAAACGGTCGTTTGAGAATAATTATAGATGACATTGCCATTATCTGGATTGATGTGCTGGAATGACGAAATCCTCTACCCAATTTCTTTGGTTGATTTAGTTTACCCACCCCACATCAACCCTTTTAGAGCCTAGAAAGCTTTTGAAAGAACTCGTTTTTTATTTCATCCAGGATGCCTCCACTGAGTCCATAAACAAAAACTAAAGAAATACCGACATATGTCTTCATCTTTTTGAGTTCCATCCAATCGGACAACACACAAGCGACTATCTGCTTAAACTCAATCAAGAATCACTTGGTTGTCTTTTGAAATAAACATTACATAAATATTTGTGAGATTACTACCAGAAAATGTAGATCATTTTCTATGCGAAGTGTTAATAATAAATGTAAACCATTCATCGGCAAGAAGATTACCTACCAACACTATATTTTGAAACATGGCTATACAGTCAGCTTACAGATAAGGGTTTTTAAAAACGAAGTTGACAAGACGAATGTGTTGACAAACAGCTTCTCAAATCAGGATGTTGACAATAAATATGTCAGTTTTAATAACTAGGTGACTGCGTAAATATTTACATCAGACGTGAATTAATGGAAAGTCTGTCAAAGTCTAACTACTCACATCAAAATAATTAAACAAAGCTATCAACGTAGGTTACGAATGTTTTCGAACAGATGTGCGAGAAAAGATCACTAAATACAAACCAAACAGTAATGTTTAACAATCAATTTACTGAGGTACGGAGTACGTAGTTTTAAAGGTGAATTACGTTTTAACAATAAGAAGTTACTTACAGAATCCGGTGGATGCGATAGACAGACATCGTTTCTGATTAATATACTATCGCTGTTACGAATCCCTGAGGATCCAGGTGACTGACCAGCGATGGAAGTCGGGTTCAAATGATTATCTAATAGGTGATCCGAAATATCTCGCGGTGTAGTCAACTGACAGCTAACAAAAAGATGAGCATGAGTCGTTTGTGTACTTTCATCACACGGATTACCATCAGTTGGTGTTGATTCAGTAACTGATGATAAATCAGGCGTTAAAATTCTACACTCTCTGACGGTAGGTAGATTTGGAAGAGCAGAAGAATACAGTTCAGTAAGAGCCTTTCTTATGCCAAAACCAGATGAATCATTGGTACACAATCGTGAAGTAGATGACAATGCTACCACGTCATCGCCAAAACCACTACATGAACCATTCATTTGAACAGCATCGTGATTCTCTTGAATAGCGTAATGAATAAGAATATCAGGAGCTTGTTCAGGATTACATGGTGTTAAAACTGGTAATTTTTGTGACAATCTACAATGAATACCATCATTATCATCATTAATACACAAAATATCTTTAACTGATGTCAAAACATTTTCTGATAATCTGTGAGATCCGATAATTTTGTGAGGATAAGATGGATTTGTAAAGCGTGATTCTGAAGAAAGTTCGTCTAAATTTGAACATAAATCTGTGGAAGTAATACCACGATCTGCTACAGCTCGTCTTAGACCAGTGGCAACTGATGAAATAGTAGGTAGACTGGTTATCCAAGGGATTTCTGTATTCATCCTATGGATATTATTAGGATTTGAATTAGAAGTTGATAGGATATTGGAATAAAAATTTTCTTGAAATGGATCTGAGGTTGAGCTAAAGAGATATTTTAAGAAAATTATACATTGTAACTGAGTTACTAGTTAATTGTAACTACGAGCAAATAAGCTACATTTATTCCGAGAGAGATCGTATTACGGTGACAGGCTATACTTTAAAGGACTAAATTTACTTCAGCCTTATTTGTTTAAATCTGTTTACAAAGTATTTATCAACCATTTATCAAATATGATTACTGTATATGATTATTTATTGTATTAAGATGGGGCTACTACTACTAAAATGGATTATAGTGAATTTAAATGATATTGTACACTCGACTCTGAAACTGATAAAAATCAAGTATACGTATGCAGTTTATTCCTACTGACAAAAAGACTTGACACATAATGGTATCATATCAAATAATATAAAATTATGGTGGATTTAGATAAGAAAAGAAACAATAAACAATGCCATAAATCGATTGTTGATATTTTACCTGTCGGATATTGAGTTGCAAAGTAATATGTAGTGTAAAAGCCGCTTGGAAACAAACATCCAAGACTATTATAAGATAAACCCTTAGGAAAATATTCTTCACCATGTGAACATATCGTTAGACCCAAATTCCCTCCCAATAGATGGAGCAGCAGAGAATGAACGCAAAATGCAATCATGAATTCCTAACTTAAAAACTAGATTTTACGTAAGTTTGAAGCTACGACGATTTGGTTGTGCTATGTCAAGTCCACTCTAATGAATCTGATTTAATTGGTAGTTATGGAGTTACATGTATACATGGAAGAGTAAATAAGCTTCCATGACCCATCATTGTTTTGACTTCAGAGACAGATTCGGCGAAGTAAACATGTTGATTTCGGCAACCAGTAAATAACTTTGACACTGAATTGCATTTTATTAAAATAAGATTAGATAATCTGTAAGTTTGACGTTGTCTTTTACCAAGTTAAAAACGTAATGCGTATTCTTCAGAATCATCTACTGAATTTTGATGATAGGTTAGCTTAAAGGGAGAGTGAAATTGAATGATACCAAATAAGAGCGATAACGTTACAAAATTCAATTATTTCCATATATATGCTTTACGAACAATGAGGCATTCATATAGCGTGGTTATCAAGGTGGTAATAGACTTTTAGGTAGTTTGGTAAGAGATATGTAGGTCAATAAACCTTACAACGTGTATCGACTCCTTCCAAAGACACCCATGACAATGGTATTATTTCAGTAGATGAAGTTACTATTTAACGAATAACAATATCAGAGTCAACTGTACAACACGTTCCCAACATATTTACATGAGTAGGATGACGCTTGGAATATGGTTTAGATTGGTAACAAAATTATTCCTCAAGATTCAATGTAGAACCCTGTCAAGCCGTACATAAATTTATCGTGTATATAGTTGGTCTTTTATTAGTTCACGAAGAAGGAAACCAACTAACAAAGAATAAAACAAATGTTATTTAGTGGTTAAAATAGATACATCTTACCACTTAATCAACGAATACATAAAATTTGTTAGCAATCATTACAATTTGGGGAAATACTTTAACAAGTCCTCTTTTTAAAAACCGCCTATTAAGATTGCCATTCAAAAACAGAACTGAAAATCTTTTCTATAATAACAACAATAGTTTACTTATGATGCCAATATGAACAATTAATTGACTAAATTATAGTGAACAGATTGTAACAAAAAAATCAATAACACGACAATTTTCTGTATTGGTTTTTTTTCTAGTTTCTTAAAAAGCAGCCAAATTCAATAAACGCACACGAACACATGTGAAATTTTTTTAAAAATCCTCCTGATCAAAATCACACTCAGAGTAAATGAGTTAAGTTAGCCAGCAGGTTAAACATTGTTATCTTTTTTTCTTCAACTTATCTAGAATTCTCAATATTTTTTCTGTTTACTAACGACAATGTAAACACGGATGAAACACGATATAAACAGTAATCGTTTTCCGACACCAAAATGAATTCCTTTTCGAATAGTACAGCTCTATAAGTGAGACGACTAAGTGGGACAATAATGATGGTTTGTGTTCAAAATTTAATTGAGATAAGGTAATTTATTTTGAACATTTTACCAGAAAAACAGCAAACCTAGTTCTAGCCAGCACGCATCTTTATTTATAATACTTGAGACTTAAGACAATATCGAGGCAATCCATACAGGATGCACACATGTCAATAAGAGACTGATCAATTGCAGTCATAAACATCAGTTAGAAGATTCAAATAAACAATCTAAAATGAATCTAAACATCACTTACAGTAAAAAAGAGTCAGAAACTCTCATAATAACTCATGAAATTGCACAAATCTTGTATTAACCTGGTGAAATTACTTTGCACCCTCTCTAAAGTAAACCACTTATACAGAGCGTTCTCAGTTCAGTTAAATGCTTCAGTTTGGTTGTGGAGTACATAGACAAGATGGTGAGGAAAATATCCATGGTTTTAGAAATTCCAAAGAAACGAAGACTATCAATGTGCCTGGACTAACCTTGGAATCAAGAGATTTACATTAGTTTTAGAAAGACACACCTTGGTTAACTTAGTGATTTAGAACTACTGCACTTGAAGATCCTTGATAGAAGTCCACGATTGTTATAGTTAACATTTATGTCACATTTGAGCTGTGGTTGCATGTGCGATAAGCTGAAAATATAGGATTTGTTAGTTCCTCTCAGTACTTCAATCCTCATTGTGGTTATCATCAACAGCTCCTCACTATCATACATTTAAACAGGTATTGACTTATACTTAGTTCTGAAGCTATATTTCGTTCTTAAGGTTTTTAACTCTACTACCCCTTGAAACAGGTACCTGGATATCAACTCAGCTCTAAATATGAGGTCCAATGATAAAACCCACTTGCCTAAGCCAAAGTACGTGAAGAGGGGTTCGGACTTATTGGCTGAAAATTGAGTCCTTTAAACACTAAGCCACCGTCCTACTACTACACCGAGGTATGAGCTTGTTTATCTAGTAACCGATTTCTAAAAGCAAAAGTTCATACAGTTGCATATACTCTAATTTTGTAAGCGAATTATTAAATGTATTAGTTGTATATATTTCTCGTCCACAACTATCAGCTGCTCGATAATTAAACAACAGGTAATCCTGAGTTCGTATTCTTTCTTTTTTACAACTGGAGAGTATATAAGGCATTATTGCGTAAGGAACATTGATAGAATAGATTGACCAAATCAGTTATCGTACAGTATACTACAGATATTATTCTCCAAATCCCTAGTGCTATTATATTGTGAGAAAATTTCCAAACCGTTGTTGCGACCTTGACATGATGGTCGGGCTTGCCTATCGTGGAAGATACAAACACTTTTCATGAAGAAAGTAAAAGGTTACAGCAGGATCGCCACTGGCTTCTAGTCTGAGCCATATCTGATAACGTCTCTAGCCACCGTGTCGCACCATCTCTCGGACCCCAGCCAGGGAGTTGTGAAGGACCAACAGAAGCCACACCTTCGCAGCCTTCTTTCATACCACGACACCATGTCATACACTGACGATATATGTAACACCCTCTGTGTATCTGGAGATCCGATGGCTAGTTATCGCGGACTGGTGGGTGTAGGCGTAGCACTAAGTACGACGGCGGAACAAGCACTATTAGAGTGGATCACCGTTAACAGTCGCTTATGTGCTGTTCAGCTAAACGGCTTCGAAAGAACTCGGAAAGATAGGGACACACGTCGTTGCCTTTTTGTCGTTTTTGCTTACGCTACCACTGACTGCAGCTCAGATGAAGTGAAAGATGAATTTTACAGAAAGCTCTATGAACTTCGTGCAGCTAAGCGTTCAGACATAGTACTCGTAGCAGGTGACTTTAATGTCCAGACAGGTAGCTTAAAACAAACAGAAAGACATTTAGATGGGAATTTCGGTATTCCTGCTCAGCGAACAGATAATGGTGACTGTCTGCTGCAACTGTGCTCAGACAATCGTTTATTTTAGCAAGCACTAATTTCAAGCATAAGAGACATCGTCTCGCATGGCGACCCCCTGCACCAAACCAACGATAGACTCAAATAGACCACATTGCCGTCAGTCATCGTTGGAGAGGGTCGATAGAAGATTGTCGCTTATTCTGGAATACCTACTTGGACTCCGACCATGCTTTAATACGCGTACGCATCTGCTTGCGGCTCACTGGATGCAAAAAACCACATTAAAAAGACCCATTAGAATTGAATTGAGTGGTGAGGAAACAAAAAGTAGGTTCCAGGAACAACTGATGTCACACTTAGGCAGTTCTAAAAACGAGGCTGACCCAGATGTTGCTTGGAAAGATATACAAACAGCTGTGTGAACAGCAGTGACATCTGTTAGTGATTTAAACCAAAGGATTTCTACTAAGTTTATTGCACTGATAAGTTCTCGTAAACTCATCCCATCAACCTCTGAACACGACGAAGAGCGAAAACAAATCAGACCTGGGTTAGTCGAAAGTCAAAGGAACGACCGTGAGCAGTGATGGGCAAGGAAAGCAAAAGAGATGGAAAATGTGACGGCTATAGGGAACACAAGACAGCTGTAAAGACTAATAAAAGAAACTGGAATTAAGAAGTCAAGTGTATGTGAGACTATCTCGGAAAAGGACGACACTCCTATCTGCTCCTAGTTCAGACGTTTGGGACGATGGGCGCAACACTATAGAGCAGTTTAGCTGGTCTTCAGCTACACTACAACTACCCACCATTCCCGGACAACGCGAATGGAACATTGAGGTAAGTAATAGTGAGGTTAGACGCAGGGTATTAGGGAACGATGCTAAATCAGTCGATGTGGTTGTGAATGTTCATCGACTGAGATGGTTGGGTGTTGCGTATACCTGACCACCGATTACCACGACGCGCTATGTTGACTAGCGTTGGAGATGGTTGGAGGAAAGTTAGGGGCGGCCAAACCAAAACGCGGCATCGGCCATTGAAGTCACTAACTGCTAGTCTGAGCCATGTTGGTAGATGCAGACTACATGGTTGAGGTCTGCGTGACTATCGTAACCAATGGTTGGAGACTCTTGGTGACATGGCTCAGAATCGATCACAATGGCGTAGGTGTATACACTCTCTGTCTTTCCTTAGACTAAGAGAATAAAATCGCTTCATACCTTAATTTCTAGGAACTAATTCTTTCTTCCTGTACCATGTGCTTATATGAAATCTTTCTTTTATATATTACCACCACTGAATTAACCACTTCTATGAATTCGGCGTTCATCTTGTTGCGCTAATGAGGTACGACAACTTGGACCGATGCACAAATGTGTCTGGTCCTACGTTGTAGTTGACTAACCAATTATTACTTCACTTCAGTCAGTCAGTCAGTAACAACGTAGAACTTCGTACGTACGTACATCAGTTCGAGTTGCCACACCACATTAGCACAGAGATGCAGTTGTCGATTCAAATCCCATAGTGGTAGAGGTAATAAGAGTTTAAGCAGTAATCGGGAAGATTAGGGTTTGGAGATGTTATTTAAAGAGTTTAATCCAGTGAAATAAATTTGGAAAGAGGAAAAGAAAAGGGACATGAAGAATTCAGAAGATTAGAATTTGGGAGAACACAGAGAGTGGATGCACCTGCTCCATTCCAAACGATTTTGAGCCATGTCATTCAGGGTCTCTAACCACCGGTTGCTATCATCTCGCGGTCCCCTACCAACATGACTCAGTTCACTTGTCAGTGACTTCATGGACTTGTGCCATGTTTTGGTTTGGCCGCCCCTAGCTTTCTTCCAACCTACTCCTATACCACTGAACATAGCACGTCGAGGCAGTCGGTCGTTGGGCATACGTAACACGTGTCCCAGCCATCTCAACTGATGAAGTTTCACTACGTCATCAATTGATTTGCCATCCTTACCTAGTACCCGTTTCCTAACAACTGTGTTACTTACTCGATGGTCCCATGATATACGAGCAATGTTTCGAAGACACCTATGATCAAATACTAGTAACCTACGGATATCCTCTACTCTTACCGGCCATGTTTCACCGCCATAAAGTAGGACGGAACGAACTGCTGCGCAGTAAACACGTCCTTTGGTTGATAGACGGATATCTCGCCTACGCCATAAATGACGCAAGTTGGCAAAAGCTAGTCGAGCCTTCTGTATCCGTGCTGAGATTTCGTCACACACCAAACCACAAGGGCTGATGAGACTTCCAAGATAAGTGAAGCGGTCGACACACTCAACTACTTCACTTCCTATCACTAGTTCGGGTGTCGATGTAACCCAATCCTGAAGCAACATTTTGCATTTCGAGGGAGAGAATCGCATCCCGAACATGCTTGCATTGTTGCTTAGAGTGGTCAGAAGACTCTGCATTTTGTCAGCGTCTTTACCAAATAAAACTATGTCATCTGCATATTCTAAGTCAACAAGTGAACCTCCTGGTAGAAGTTCAACCCCTGTAAATTTAGATGAGGAGAGTGTTATCTCTAAAAGTACGTCAATGACAAAGTTGAACAAGAATGGGGAGAGTGGACAGCCTTGACGAACACCACTTGAGGTGATCAATTCTGATGACAGTTCGCCATAAGCTCTCACTCTACCAGTTGTGTTCGAGTAGAGAGCCTTCACAAGGTTTATGTACTTCTGAGGTACGCCTTTCAATGACAGACACTGCCACAGAATCTCGCGGTCTACCGAGTCAAATGCTGCTTTTAAGTCGAGAAAGACCACCATTGTCGGACGTCGATAAGTATGCCTGTGTTCTAGAATCTGACGAATGGCGAATATGTGGTCGATGCAACCACGACCAGGTCTGAAGCCAGCTTGAGTCTCTCGTGTTTGCAGTTCACGAGTCTTAGTTAGGCGTTTGATAATTATCGAAGCTAGTATTTTAGATATTATATTAGTTAAAATAATCCCTCTGTGGTTGTCACAGGATGATTTTGACCCTTTCTTATATACTGAGACGATAAGTGATTGTGACCAGTTAGATGGGATAACGTCTAACTCCCAGATCCTAGCTAAAATATTAGTCAACCTAATCGCTAAAATTGGGCCACCATCCTTAAAAACCTCTGGAGCCAGTCCATCTGGACCAGCTGCCCTTCCTCGTTTCAGATTAACTATAGCCTTTTGAACTTCAGCAATAGTTGGGGGACCTACTTCAATGTTCCATTCACACTGTCTGGGAATGGAGGGTAGTTGTAGAGTAGCTGAAGGCCAGTTGAACTGTTCTCTGAAATGTTCCGCCCATCGTTCTAAACGTCTGGACTGGGAGCAGATGAGAGTATCGTCGTTTTCCGATATAATCTCACTTACACTTGACTTATTAATTCCAGTTTCTTTTATTAGTCTGTAAAGCTGTCTTGTGTTCCCTATAGTCGCCGCCTTTTCCATCTCTTTTGCTTTCGTTACCCACCACTGCTCACGGTCGTTCCTTAGACTTTTTCTTAACCTAGATCTGATTTGTTTTCGCTCTTCATCATGTTCGGAACCTGATGGGACGAGTTTGCAAGAAGCCATCAGTGTGACAGACCTTGAAGAAATCCACTGGTTCCTTGCAACTCTGTGGTTTAAGTCACTAATAGATGTCACTGCTGTTTCCACAGCTGATTGTATGCCCTTCCAAGCAACATCTGGGTCAGCCTCGTCTTCACAACTACCTAAGTGTGACCTCAGTTGTTCCTGGAACCTACTTTTGGTTTTCTCGTTACTCAACTCAGTTCTAACGGGTCTTTTTAATGTGGCTTTTTTGCGTCCAGTGAGGCGCAAGCAGATGCGTGCCCGTACTAGGGCATGGTCGGAGTCCAAGCAGGTACTCCAGAATGAGCGACAATCTTCTACCGACCCTCTCCAACGATGACTGATGGCAATATGGTCTATTTGAGTCCATCGTTGGTTTGGTGTAGGGGGTCGCCATGTTAGACGATGTCTCTCCTTATGCTTAAAATTTGTATTTGCTAAAAATAAACGATTGTCTGAGCATAGCTGCAGCAGACGATCACCATTATCTGTTCGCTGTGCCGGAATGCTAAAATATCCACCTAAATGCCTTTCTGTTTGGTTTAAGCTACCTATCTGAGCATTAAAATCACCTGCTACGAGTACTATGTCTGAGCGTTTAGCTTTCTGTAAAATTCATCTTTCACATCATCTGAGCTGCAGTCAGTGGGAGCGTAGGCAGAAACGACGAAAAGGCAACGACGTGTGTCCCTATCCTTCCGAGTTCTTACGTAGCCGTTCAGCCGAACAGCACATAGACGACTGTTGACGGGGATCCACTCTAGCAGTGCTTGTTCGGCCCTCATGCTTAGTGCTATGCCTACACCTGCCAGTCCACGAGAACTGGCCATCGGGTCACCAGATACACGGAGGGTGTATCTCGTTGGCTCTCCGTTCTGCCGAGGTGAGGTCAAGTGAATGACCACACTGGGATCCTATATGCGTGTTTCAGAGACACAGCATACATCAATGGAAAGAGACTCTAGGGTTTTAGCCAAGGAAGCCTGCTGACCGATTTGACATGGAGTGCGTACGTTGAAAGCTCCAATGTGTAGTTTGGAGCGAGGTTTCAGTAGACCTGGGACAGAGTTTTGAGCACTAGAATCGTTGACTATGGTGACACTTGAGGAGGAAGCCGAAAGAGGAAGTTTAGAGTGGAAAGTCGATATAGGAGGAATAATAGGAATTGAAGAGGAAGGTTGATTATGAATACAGTGGTCTCGAGTGCTGTTAGAGGTATGAGGGCGGTTATCACTTCCCGGTTGCCCACACCGAGGAAGGGTTGTTCTGGAGGTACCTGAAAAGGAAATTGGATTAGAGGTGGTCTCAGTGACGTGAGAGCGTGACCGCAGTGCCCAAGGGACAACTGCTTGAGGTCGGTCGCGCACGGCCTTTTCGTGGAAGGTTTTCGACGTGTTAGCTCCGTTCTTTAAAGGGCCTTACCGCCGGAGACGGAAATCCGTGAGGTAAGGTGAGGTGTGCATTTTTAGGGTCGACCTTTTCTAACCCCACCCCTCCTTGTGGGAAGGCAGCATCGCTGTCATGCTGGTTGCCTGAAGGAAACACCTTACTGCTGTCACACCTCTGTACAATCAGCAGTACGACTTCGCCTTCGGACCTTGGGTTTGTTGCTTTTAGTCTTACCGCTCTTCAACCGACCTGTCTAACATGGTAGGACCTTGAGGAACGGTTGTTCCAGCCAGTATAGCTCGGTTGCTTCATCACGATAGGCAAGCCCGACCACCACGTCAAGGTAGCAACAACGGTGAAAAGAGACTAATCAACTTTGAAGCTTCGACTGACTGGGAAAAACTGATTTGACAGTAATGTGATTTGTGAAATGTTAAGGTTGGTTGTCGAAAAGAGAAGAGATCAATAACGAACTAAAATGAAACATCAACTTGATTCTGTTTTGGAATTTTGTTCTTTAGATTGTGATTTTATGCCTACATTATGAAAACCTATATGGACAGTAACTAAGAAAATATTGTAGTTACATATAATCAGTTGTCCCAACTGAGAAAGACTAGGATTATATACAAAAGTCAGGTTTTTATGTGATCCACAAAAAGCTGGATAACACTAAAAGCGATGAGATAGATACACAGTCTGAACTTACGAACTGCATATAGAACTTATGATGTGTTTTTGCACTAAATTGACAGTGGAGTGTGTTTTCGTAGGATTTTCATGCGATGTACCGTTTAGTAACACTAGTGGTGCATCGGTTAAAGATGGTGAATTTATTTTCGTCGAATCCGTAACATAAACAAGCGGATTTATTCGATTGCTTTTTGACTTTATGGAATTTGAAGTTTCACCACTGGTAGTGTAACTCTCCATAAGAGACATGGAAACACTTCGGTTTGACTGGAATTGTTTTTCATATGAAGAATTAATTGATTCAGTAATAACACTGTCGAAAGACGATGAACTTGGTATCAATGTCCACACCTCCTGTTCAGTTTTGACTTTGTTCAAAGTTCGAGAAAAATTGCTAAAACAATAAGTAAAATACACTAACCAGTAACTTCGAACATTAATAAACTAGCTAGTTGAATGTAGTAATGTATGTCGTACATGCTCGATTTGGCTATATGTTACCACATGACTTAAACTGGGAAGTAAATAATGATATAAATACGTCTTGATAAACAAACTGTAAATCACCAGAAAGCAGATCAAAGACAGAAAATAAACTTTAGATTGGAGTACAAAGCTGTGTACTGAAACCTATCTGAAATGAACGTTCATCAACATTTTTGTGGCTTATATCAAGCGAAAGAAATCTGAAATGACTAAAGTAAGCTAGTAACTCAGAGTAAGTCATTGTATTCGGCATTTAATCAGACGTTGTGTGAGAGGGCGATACTTTTAACCAACAGCCTGTTTGTTCAAATCACAGTCCACCTACTTCAGGCTGGGTAGTCTGCTGGTATCACTATGCGCTCCTAAACGTATTGTTCTAAGTCGGGTATATAAACGTCTGCATCATAAATGGATAAGTAATTTAGCGGACTGCATTACCCAGTTACCCGGCCGTTGTGGTTACCTTGACATGGTGTTCGAGCTTGCCTATCGTGATAAACTAATCAAACTATACTGGCTGGAACAATCATTCCTCAAAGTCCTACCATGCTAGACAGGTCAGTTGAAAAGCGACAAAACTAAAAGCAACAAACCCAAGGTCCGAAGGCGAAGTCGTGTTGCTGACTGTACAGAGGTGTGACAGCAGTAAGGCGTTTCCTTCAGACAACCAGCATGGCAGTGATGCTGCCTTCCTACAAGGAGGAGTAGGGTTAGAAAAGGTCAACCCTAAAAATACACACATCGCATTATCCCACAGATATCCGTCTCCGGTGGTAAGGTCTCAGCGAGTACGAGGTTAACATGGAAATTAATCACAAAGTCATGTGTGATCGACCTCAAGCAGTTGTCCCTTGGGCACTGTGGTCACGCTCTCACGTCACTAAGACCACCCCCAACCCAATTTCCTTCTCAGGTACCTCCAGAAGAACTCATCCACAGTGCGGGCAACTGGGAAGTGATAATCGCCCTCATACCTCTAACAGCACACAAGACCACTGTATTCATAATCAACCTCCCTCTTCAATTCCTATTGTTCCTCCTACATCGACTTTCAACACTAAACTTCCGCTTTAGGCTTTCTTCTCAAGGGTCACCATAGTCAACGATTCTAGTGCGCAGAACACTGTCCCAGGTCTACTGAAACCTCGCTCCAAACTACACATTCGAGCCTTCAACATATGCACCCTATTTCAAATCCACGAGCAAGCCTCCATAGCTGAGACTCTAGAAGATCACACCATTGATGTATGTAAGCCACGAGCAGCCGGAGCTTTAGATACAGTAATGATCAGTCAGTTTGCCTTTTATTTATCTTAACACATAGATATTGGTACAAGGAGGCACCAAATACATATGCGCTACACAGATCTCATTTGATATGTGTGAGGGCTGTGATACAGGCCGGGTGCCCAAACCGAAGCAGGTGGTTATCTGAGCATAGCTGCAACAGACAGTCACCATTATCTGTTCTTTGAGCCACGAAACCATAAGGTCCACCCAGGTGTATTTCCCTTTCGCTTAGTTTACCTACTTGAGCATTAAAGTCGCCAGCCACTATTACTACATCAGAGCGCCTAGCTTTTCGGAGGTCGGAAAGCTTACTGTAAAACTCGTCTTTTACATCATCTGAGCTGCAGTCAGTGGGAGAGTAGGCAGAGACGACAAAGAGGCAACGACGAGCGTCCCTATCTTCCCAAGTCCTTACTGCTCCGTTTAGTTGGACAGCGCACGAACGACTGTCTACAGAGATCCAGCCTAAGAGATTTAGTTCTGCCCTAGGACTCAATGTTATACCTACGCCAGCGAGGCCACGGGAGGCAGCACCAGGGCTTCCAAAAACACGAAGCGTGAATCGAGTTGGTTCTTTATTTTGACATGGTAAGGTCAAGTGAATGACGCTACTCGGATCCTGTATGCGCGTTTCGGAGACGTAACACATGGCGTGAAATTCTAAAGCCCGAGCTAAGGAAACCTGCTGTCCTATTGGGTACAGTGTTCGGACGTTAAAAGCTTTTACATGTAGTTTAGAGCGTGGTTTCAGACCAGGAACAACGTTCAACGTACACGAATCGTTTGCACTAGCGGTGCGAGGTGATAAAGGGACGTGAAAAGGGTTAGTCGTGGAGATAAGAGAATATCAGGAGGTGCAGAAAGGATTTGAGTGTGAACAACTTGATCTCGTGTGTTGCTACAGGTATGAGGGCTGAAATCTCTTACCGGCTGCCCATACCGTGGAAGGGCATTTCTAGAAGAACCTCAAGAAGAAGTTGGAATAGGGTCGGTCGTAACGACCCGGGAGCGTGACCGCAGAGCTCAAGGGACAACTGCTTGAGGCCGGTCGCACACGGCCTCTTTGTGAGTGGTTCTTACCGTGTTAGCTCCGTTCTTCCAAGGGCTTTAGCGCCGGAGATGGAAATCCTCTACAATCAGCAGTACGACTTAGACCCCTGACCATGAGCTGCTACCTTTAGGCGTACCGTTCTCCAATAGACCTGTCTGGCATGATAGAACCTGCGGTCAATCAGCTACAACGTAGGACCAGACACATTTGTGCATCGGTCCAAGTTGTCGTACCTCATTAGCGCAACAAGATGAACGCCGAATTCATAGAAGTGGTTAATTCAGTGGTGGTAATATATAAAAGAAAGATTTCATATAAGCACATGGTACAGGAAGAAAGAATTAGTTCCTAGAAATTAAGGTATGAAGCGATTTTATTCTCTTAGTCTAAGGAAAGACAGAGAGTGTATACACCGACGCCATTGTGATCGATTCTGAACCATGTCACCAAGAGTCTCCAACCATTGGTTACGATAGTCACGCAGACCTCAACCATGTAGTCTGCATCTACCAACATGGCTCAGACTAGCAGTTAGTGACTTCAATGGCCGATGCCGCGTTTTGGTTTGGCCGCCCCTAACTTTCCTCCAACCATCTCCAACGCTAGTCAACATAGCGCGTCGTGGTAATCGGTGGTCAGGTATACGCAACACCCAACCATCTCAGTCGATGAACATTCGCAACCTCATCGACTGATTTAGCATCGTTCCCTAATACCCTGCGTCTAACCTCACTATTACTTACCTCAATGTTCCATTCGCGTTGTCCGGGAATGGTGGGTAGTTGTAGTGTAGCTGAAGACCAGCTAAACTGCTCTATAGTGTTGCGCCCATCGTCCCAAACGTCTGAACTAGGAGCAGATAGGAGTGTCGTCCTTTTCCGAGATAGTCTCACATACACTTGACTTCTTAATTCCATATGCTTGTATCATGCTATTTCATGCAAAAATAAATGATTTGTCTACCATCAGTGTATACTTAGGTAGAAATAAATGCTAGTCTGCGAAGTAAATAAGGAAAACTGTTAAAGCAGCACCTGATTAATGAATTTTCAAGGACTTCGCGATACCATGTACCGAAAAATGGAAAAATCCATTTCACCTAAATGTGAGAATGCAAAATGAAATTTCAAATTTGTTTATAATTAATTTCGAATCTTAGCTGTGCGAAAAGCAGAAAGAAAAAATGGCGCAAAAAGTGTCGCGATACCTCTGGAGCGCTGCCGATCGTACGTTAGCATTGTAGCACGTACTATTAGCGTTTATCTGCAAGCAGGAGCGATCTGAAACACAACACAACAGTCAGGGCCGACAGATGCTACTCAGTGAGAACACGGCGTACGAGCACAACAGAGATATATTTTAAAGTTGAATTATGCGGTTTAAGTACAAAAAAGGGAAGTCTATTACAAATGATTTTACTCATTATCCCACAGGTTTAACTTGCGCAAGGCTTGTTCTTCTTCTTCTTCTTCTTCTTCTTCATCTAGTACGTCACTTTCTGTTGGCCTGAAACAAGGAAAACAAACTTGCATTAGTAAAGTCACACGTAATGATTTTTGATACTGAACATTGCCCCCTCTATCCATGAGGCACTGTCCTCAGTGTCTGGTGCTGTACATGGGTATGATACCCCTCCCTCTAGTGGCACATCATAATGGCTGACGGCAGTCGGGGTGTATCTTAGTGCACCGTTGTTCTGTCGGGCTTCAGTTGATTGTAGTGTGCTGTTATAACATCGTCTTGGGGTCGTTGGAGGTTTCGTAAGACGAATGTAGTGGGGGACAGTGTAAACACAACTTCATAAAGTCCTTGCTAAGGGTGATGAAACTTGCTGCATGTCCCTGGTGGAGCCAAGGGGCGGTGAAGCTACACACGATCTCCGTGTTTATACACAGGTCCGTTCGCCTTGCGATCGTACACATCCTTTTGGTGTTTGCTGGCATTTTGTAAGTTGATCTTCAAAAAGGGATAGGCATCAGCTAGGCGGTTGCAAAAGTTACGGATGTATACTACATGATCTTGGGCCTCGCATGGTAACAACGGTATTTGCAGCTCAATGGGTAGGCGCAATTCATGTCCAAAATGTAGGGTCGCAGGTGAAAATCCCGTAGATCCGTGCACTGATGCGCGGTAAGCTAACAGACATTGTGGTATCACGTCATCCCAACATGCCGTCGACGACTTATTGATAAACGATTGACGGAGAGTTTTGATAGTCCTGTTGGTTCTTTCCACCAAGCCGTTACCTTCTGGATGGTATGCAGTAGTGTGTGTTTTTCGGATTCCCAATAATCGACATACCTGGGCGACAAGATGACTTTCAAAAGCTGAACCTTGGTCAGAATGGAGTGAAGGAGGAGCGCCGTACCGGGATATCTATTGATCAATGAAATCACGAGTGACTGTGAGGGCATCTTGTTGT